CAAATTACATTTGACAGATGTGAAAGACCAGGATAATTCACTTTAAATTCCCACAGCAGACACTCTCACTGAGCAGGTTCAAGCAGACATATCAGATCACTGAGTGACAGAAGATCAAGCAGTCATTCAAGCAATCATCAATCAACATCACAAACTATTTAGCTCCAGCCTAGACTTATTTTCAGATAATATTAAGATATCACTGCAGTTCATTGATGAGAGTAACTTTTTCAGCCTGAAACAGAGACTCTATTCTCTGTCTCAAAGAGATCATAAAGCCACTGACCAGATTCTGGACTCACTTCTGTAAGATAGAAGAATTAAACATGTTTCTCTTGAAGACAGAAACCTCATTGCTTCACCCATCTTTATAATCTGACTTAGAGAGAAGCTGAGAGTGATGATTGATTTATGAAAAGTAAATGCATGCTTACTTCTCAATGTATACTCTCTATTAACACAATAAGATGTGTTGCAATCACTCAGCAGTTCTACAGTATTCTTATTCATGAATATTCATCAAGACTTCTTTTAACAAGCAATTGAACAGAGTGATTATTTCAAAACCACATTCATGATCCTGCACTGAGGTCTTGAACATTTTACAGTCATCACAATGAGATTGACAACCTCACCTGAGTTCTTTCAACAGTGTATGAAGAAGATTCTAGTAAAATTCCTATGACAATTCATATTAGTCTATATAGATGACATCATCATCTTCTCTCACTTACTGAATGAACATCTTCATCATATGCAGCAAGTCTTTGCAGCTCTTGAGACATCTGGAATAACAATGTCATTAACTAAATGTCATTTCACATACCTCTCAGTGCATTTGCTGAGTCACCATGTCAGCTGACTAGACATATCTACTCAAGAAGAGAAAGTAGCTGCTATTACTAATCTAATCTTCTCTATAACACTCAGAGAACTAGAAGGAATTATCAGTCTCTTCAATTATTATCACAATTTTATCAATTTTTATGCAGATCAGATGAAAGCATTAGAGACTCTCAAGATCAAGTTGCTACATAACAGTTCAAAAACAGGCCAGAAAAGAGCATCATATGCAGCTAAGATCAAGTTGATGAGATTTGAGAACTCACTGCAGTTTCACACTCTGCTTACAGAAGTCAGATATTCATTTGACATGATAAAGCAAGCCTTGATGAACACTCTCACTCAGACATATCTCAACTTTAAACATCTCTTCATATTGTACATGGACACCAGTAAGCAAAGAGGTATCAGAGTAGCTCTACATCAAGTCAGAATGAATAACATTGAAAGACCTGTTCTATTTCTCTCTCATCAATTGAGTACAGCTGAAAAGCACTACTGAGCAATTGAATTGAAGTGTCTTAAACTTATATGAGCCCTGCAGAAATTATCACAGTATTTAGATGACAAGTTTACAGTTGTCACAGATCATGTTACTCTTGTGTTCACTTTTCAGTTGCTGACAATAGATCATCATAGCAACTGACTGATAAATTGAGCCTTAGTTCTAAGCTCATACCTTCTGTGAATGACAATCTGCTATTGCAAGGACACTGTACATACTAATGCTGACACTCTATTCAGATTGCACTGTCTAGATAATGATTCAGAAGAGATTCTCTCTGAAGAGCAGAAAAAAATTCATCAGATCATCATCAATCAGGCAGATGAACTGATGATAGATACATCTTCAGTGAAGATATGTATGATTTCAACTACAGTGATAGAGCTCACTGACAAATTCAAAAAGTAACTACACTGAGATATTCTCTGTGACTCAGCATTGAGAAAGGTCTTTCACAAGGCCAGTCAGAAAGAGTAATACCAGTTATTTACAGTGCAGAATGAGCTATTGTTCTTTGAAGAATTATGTCTCTATATTCTCAAATCACTGATGTGAGATGTTATTCATATATGTCATGATGCAGCAGGTCACTCTGGCCTTCATTGAACAGAAAACCTTATTTACCAGTTCTTCTTCCTTTCTCATGTCTGAAAGAGAATCCTGGACCATCTATCACAATACCTCAATTACTAACTAGTCAAACTGTCAAATCACTTACCAGAGGACAAATTACACCTCATCTCACTCTCAAAACAGTCATTTGAAGTTCTTTTGATTGATTTTATTACAGAATTATCTATGAGTGATAATTGTGACACTATATTGACAGTCACAGACAAATTTTTAAAAGCAGTAATTCTAATTGCAGGACAGAAATAATGAGATGCTTCATGATGAGTGAAAGACTTCTATAAGAAGATAATCTACTACTAGCAGCCCTCACTGGTGATTATTTCAGATAGAGATCTCAAATTTATATCACAATTTTAAAAGTCAGTTCTTCAACTCATGAGAATTAAGACATGAATGACAACTGTCTACAATCCTCACTCAAACAGTCAAAGCAAGTGAATCAATCTCATGATTGAAGTCACATTGTGAACACTTCTTATAGATGAATATGAAGCAAATTGAACTGCTCTGCTTGAACAAGTGAAAAGAGTATTGAACTCAGTAGCTATACAGCCAGCAATGATCTCTCTCTTCAAATTGCTCACAGGTGTAAAGCCTAGATGACTGTCATTGAACAATGAGAAAGCTCTGCTAGATATAGCTGAGTTCATCACTGCATGAGATGCAGTGCAGTAAGACATTCTTGACTTATACACTCTGACAAAAGCTAGGATGACTGAGTTCTTTAACTGATCTCATTCTCAATCAACTATTCAGATTGATGATTGAGTCTTCTTGAACCTCACTTAAAAAGCTCAAAAGAGCTACACATTAAAAGAAACATTCAAGCTATCATTCTTACAAGTAGGCTCATTTCACATTCTTCAGAAAGTATCAGATGCTGCATTTCAATTGAAACTGTCAGTCAGTTGATGAATGCACTCAGTAATCTTCATCATTCACCTGAAAAAGACTGTGTTAACAGAAGCAAATATGAAGTATTTATCATCAGAATCAGTACTTATTAATGATCAGTTGCAATTTAAAGTTGAAAATATCATAAGAAAGTACACAGAGAATGGTAAGACTTATCTTCAGATTAAGTGAAAGAAATATAAAGACCTGATCTGAAAGCCTTTTGAAGTTATTGCACAAGACATCCTGCACCTGATCAAGGCCTTCATGATCAAGAAGCCTCACAGTCAGCTGAGTAAATGATAGAAAGAAAAGTAAAATAGAGACAGAGTGAAAGAAAGAAAGAAAATGTATTACAATCTAATTTTAGCTATTGAATGAGAAAACAAAGAAAACAAGAAAATCACTATCTTCTGCTCTTTTCATCATTTCACTCTGTCTCTTCTCATCAATCATCTTCAAGCTCTTTCTGCAGCTTGACCTCCTGCTCAGTGAGACATGTGTCTCAAAATGCAACATTCACTGACAATTTCTCATTCATAAGATCACTGAAATGCACCCTGCTGAGCAACTTAAAGAAATAATTATTAGTCATAGTATCCCCTGCAGCTGAAATCACATTGATGAACTTAGCTATTTTATCCAGTTTCTTCTGTGTGGTCTGAATAGCATTCAGATTATGCTTGTCAAGGTTAGGCAGTCACTTCAGCACCTTCAGATCTTGAGCTCTATAATTGACCATGCAGTCTTCAGAAGACAGAATTGACAATCATTATGCACTACTCATCTTGACCTCATTGATCATCTTAGCAGGGGTCAAACAGCTTATCTTCACCTCATCACTCATCTTCACAGATGTCAAGATATCTCACTCACTGATTTAAACACATTTCAAGAGTTTCAGTGCAATCAGACTCAACATCTTGCACTTGAAAGATATAGACATTCTCTTCATTGAAACTATAGTCAAATTGTTCTTCTTCTTCATATCACTGATCTCAACAATGTCATCAACATCTGTCTTCTCAGTCACAGTCTTTTCAAATCCAGGCACACTTTCTTTAAACAGCAAGTTATCTGTGTTTCACTCAAGTTCATATCAGTTACAGCAATTTAAAGAGCAGTGAGATCTCTTATTTTCTCACTGATAGTTAGTGTAAGTGTCATGTCCTTGCTGCATCTATTTATCATCTGCAGAGATAATCATACATTTCTCAAATCATCTCTGACTCTTCATGCAACACTGATACAACACAGAAGCTATTTTCTCATGAGTCTGCAGAATAACAATATTCTGATTAGTGAAATTCTTAGAATTGACAGTCTGTGAAGTGATTAGTTCATCATTATTTATTCATCAGTACAACTTTCACTTAACAGATAACTGTCTTAAATCTTTAATCAATCACTGACTGAATAAAATGAAAAATTCACAATTGATAAATGACATCTTCTCACTACATTTTACAAGTCTTTCAATGATCAAGACAGCATCTGCAAGCCTCTTCACAGTCAGGTTCTGTATGATTGACACACTCAGGTGAGTGAGCTTGTCATTCTGCTGAAAGCATAAGTCAGTCTTATCATCATAATGCAGACATCTTATACATATTATGTCATACAGTCAAGACATCTGATCACTCTCAACATTCTTCTTTCACTCTGACTTTCTTAAAATGTTATCACTCAGAGTTTCATATTGCTTTCAACTAGTTCTTCAGTGCTTCTTGTTCTCTTCTATCAGTAACAGTTCTTCAGCATCTGTATCTGCTCATTCAGCTCTTACTTTCAGTTCTACTTATAACTCTTCATCACTGATCACTCTCACAGCAGTCTTCTGACTCTCTTTTCTCTTATTCATTTCAATATCTTCTTCTGAAAATCAGCATGTGAACAGTCATAACTTTTTCAAATGAGTAAACAGTGTTATAAGCTTTTATATCATAGTCTTAGACTCTTCTTGACTCTTCAAGCTTCTGTTATATGATTTATCTGTTAACTCTTCTGCAGTGGCACCATGCAGCCTAGCTGAGTGATGACAAGACATCACTGTCTTTTCTTTATCTTGATCTTTGATCACTTTATATGTGAAAAGATAAGTTAATAGTATTGAAAGCTCATCTGTTCAGAATTCTAACTCTTCATCTTCATCATTTTCTTTTATCTCATTCTCACCTGTTCTCTCTTCATCAGTCTTCTCACCTGTCTTCTCTTCTCTATCACTCATATGAAGAAGGGCATCACACTTCTCCTGACTTAACAACTGAAACAATTTCTCTAAGGTTAAGGCCTTTTTCACCATGCTCACTGCGCCTGTCTTCACAGCTGTTAACTTCTTCTTAAGACTCATTGTTTCTGTGGTCTAATCTTTCATATATTGCGATTTTCACTAATTCCACTATATTAAATTTTAGTGAGATGTGTGAGAAATAAGAGAAGAATAAGAAGAAAGTAATTGTAATATATATATTAATATGATTATTCATCTACACTAATCTCTATCACTCACAGAACCTTCTTCTCATCACAATGAAACTTTCACTCTCATCTATCTCATCAAAGAACTCTTTCTCATTCAAGCTTCTTGTAATTTCTTTACAATCTCTTTCTTTTCTTACAGCTGTTTTTAGATTAAAGAACTTCTGTCTCTTTCTTATCATTTCTTTTCAAGTCATTCTTACATCTTTTACTCTTTATAGAGACAAACAATTCTTACATCTGATCACTCTTTATATGAATAAGCAATTCTATTACTTAGTCTTCTCTTTTCTATGATATCTGCAGCATATGTAAACAGACTAGCACTTCTGAATAATATCTGCCCCTTTGGGCCTAGCGCCTGTGATATCTGTCATCTTTTTTCAATGTCATTTTTTTCTTCTCTGTGAACACATTCTTTCAGATAGAGGAACTGTGACATGCTTTCACTCTCTATTCAAGTCAATTCTCTATTCAGCTCTAGCTTCTGCTTCATTCCTTGCTGTTTCTTGAAGCTTTCACTTCTATCTTCTTCCTCTGTTCTTCTCTTCATATGTGATCACTTCTTCTATGAGAGCTTTCACTTCTTTTCTACAGAGTCTTCATTCTTTTCTTTATATGTGATTACTTCTTCTATGAGAGCATTCACTCCTTCTCTACAGAGTCTCTGTTCTTCTCTTCATAGGTGATCATCTCTTCTACAAGAGCTAATCTCTATAGAACAATCACTGTATATATAAGAGTGTACACCCATCTCCCATCTTTAAGAGAATAAGACAAGTTTTTACCCTTATATCTGACCCTACGTAGCGGCGTACGCTACATTTTACAGAATTTTAAAATATATCAAGATAAAAATATTTAATAATTAATTTTAAATTGATTTTAAATTGATTCTGAATTGATTCTGAATTAATTATAGTAATAAAAATAAATTCAATTTATATATTTAAGTAATTAATAATTGATTGAAAATCAGTTGATAATTAATTTAGTATTATTATTAAATTCAAGAATAATTTCAGTATTAAATTAATTTTAAATTGATTTTAAATTGATTCTGAATTGATTATAGTAATAAAAATAAATTCAATCTATATATTTAAGTAATTAACAATTGATTGAAAATCAATTAATAATTAATTCAGTGTAAATTATATAAATACTTACTTTATTATTAAATTCAAGAATAATTTCAGTATTAAATTGATTTTAAATTGATTTTGAATTGATTATAGAATTGATTATTAATTAATTATAGTAATAAAAATAAATTCAATCTATATATTTAAGTAATTAACAATTGATTGAAAATCAATTAATAATCAATTCAGTATAAATTATATAAATACTTACTTTATTATTAAATTCAAGAATAATTTCAGTATTAAATTGATTTTAAATTGATTTTGAATTGATTGTAGAATTGATTATTAATTAATTATAGTAATAAAAATAAATTCAATTTATATATTTAAGTAATTAATAATTGATTGAAAATCAGTTGATAATCAATTTAGTATTATTATTAAATTCAAGAATAATTTCAGTATTAAATTGATTTTGAATTGATTATAGAATTAATTATTAATTAATTATAGTAATAAAAATAAATTCAATCTATATATTTAAGTAATTAACAATTGATTGAAAATCAATTGATAATCAATTCAGTGTAAATTATATAAATACTTACTTTATTATTAAATTCAAAAATAATTTCAGTATTAAATTGATTTTAAATTGATTTTGAATTGATTTTGAATTGATGATAAATAATTGAGTGGTTTCAAATTACAAGAAAAGATGTATTGAGCGAGGTCAGGTAGTGACACGGGCCACATTTGCGAGGTCAGCTTACATAACGAGGTCAAGTGGCGCACTTAGCGAGGTCAAGTTTTCTGCTTCCTGAATTCTACACAATTCTCCGTGCGTAAAAAGCCCAATAATGACTTTACTCGCTGACGTACCACAAAATACTAGCCAATCATGAATCAGTGCACATCACAGTGTCAGGGAGACATGCAGCTTTGAACTGTTCAGAGCGAGCCAAATGAAGCTCTTTACTTATTTTCGCCATGATTTACAACTTAGTCAATCCCGTATCTGCGTTGTCAAAGCAGAAATGCAGTATATAAGAAGGCACGATTACCCAGATTTCCTGAGGCAATGAGCAGATGTTCAATCAAGAAGCCCCTATCAAGTTACCACTCCTGACCAATCTAAAAAATGCCCCCTCCTTTTCAATTATCACCATGTCCAAACTCATGTTTGCCCAAACACCTCCATGCAGCCCGATCGACGAAAGCGCCCAGAGGAGCCCGACATTGGATGGAATGTATCAGCACCTTGTCGCACAGAAGGAACTAAAAGATCTCCTTGTGGAAGTTATCCAGGAGATCAGGGCTAATCCCACCGCAGCTGAGCCCAATACGGATGGTGCATCGTCGGGAGCGAACAAGCTGTCAGACTCCAAGCCCGCAGTCGCCGCACTTGGCTCTAAGTTTGACTTCAAGAGAGTCGAAGAGATGTATGTGCTCCGTCATCAATGCTTATCAGCTCGACTGAATGGTTTGCAGTTGGGATAAAATGACACTGCAGTATAAGACCAAGGAAGCGGTGGAAGAGGTCCTTGATGAGCTTGACCAATATGCCTCCGTTGTTCGGACCTGAACTGGTAAAAATTCCACGAAGCGGACTGTCTGCATTGACATCAAGTCTAAATTCCTTTGTGATGCTTTGCAGGATGTTTTGAAAGTTGTCAAGTCCATCAGCTTGTAGGAGGATAAGCCTAGTGTGTGTTGCGCTTCATTGCAGAACCCAGCAGTGGCTAACATTGACACAGGTTGAGCTGGACCTCTTGTACTACTTCCTTCCTGAGCTGGAGACATATAGGACAAACACCGCTGGTACACCGGGCCGACAGGGCCAAGTGAATTTCCTTTCCCTGCTCATCGAATTCGTCTTGATGACATACCAGCCCACAACTGAACGGCTCGCATCCCAACTTGAAAGTGGACAAGCCATGTGGGACATTCTCTGGGCTGTCTTCAAGCCGGGGTCCATCATCTATACAAAATGGTTTTGGACGGAGAAGCCAAGATGCGTTGTGCTGAATGCTATTGAGGAGAAAACCAGGTTTAATGGTGTGGAGTATCACAGCCTCAATTGTAGCTACATCGACTATGACAGAAAGGTTCTTGGAAAAGCTGGCATGGAACTTGAAATTGAAAAGTTTTGAGGCTTGCGACCCATCCATCAGCTAACCAGCATTTCCACTTTAGTACCACCTGGAGGAAGTGATGGTCAGGCAGAACCTGATCAAATGTTGGCCGGAAGTTCTGTGGACTAGCAGGAACACATATCTGTCACTGCTGTGGAACTGCCTTCTTCATGAAGAAGAGACAACCTATGCAAGTCAATATTGATAGCTGTGTTGGAATTGATGCTTTGCTCTTTCATCAGATGACGCTGAACTATTCTCGACCATGCGTTGAAGTCTCAGTCCACGGGGATTGACTTAGATGGAGCTTTTTGGATTGACTTTGAAGAGCAGATCCAGAAAGAGAGGGAGCAAGTGAAGTATGACAGCGTGGGAGATGTTGACATGGATGATGATGACTATCTGATATGCTGTCCCAGCCGTTGATGACTTTGGTGAAATTAAATGGTCATCGACTCTCTTTGGGAACTTGACAATTCCTGATGAGCAGAGGTCCACTCTTATGGCACTTGCAAAGACACAGATGGGTGTGACTCCCGCCCTCCCATTTGATGATTTTGTTGCAGGCAAGGGGTGTGACCTGAACATCCGTTTTGTAGTATGTCCTGAGGGCCTTCAATTAGTTTCCCTGCTAACAGACACAGCACAGTGGCCCACCGGGTGTGGGTAAGACTCTGACGGCTGAAGCTATGGCTGAGAATTTTGAGTGGCCTCTTTACCCGGTAAGCCCAGCTTCAATTGAAAGTCAATAATTTCTGCTGACGTTTCAGATTCCTGCCGCGCAACTGGTCACCCAATCTGACAGACTTGAGAACAACCTCACAAGAATATTCCAAATCGCCAAATGTTTCGATGCTCTTCTCCTCCTAGATGAAGTTGACGTGTTTCTTGAGCGTCGCGCATCCATCAACATGTCCAAGGATGCTATTGTTACCATATTCCTTCGCAAACTGGAATATTTCCAAGGGATCTTCTTTCTCACGACCAACCGCGAGACAGAATTTGACGAGGCAATCCTTAGCAGGATCCATCTGAAGATTAAATATCCCAACCTAAGTCGACAGCAACGAAAGGCAATATGGAAGCATTTTGTCTCCCAAGCACATACGCATCAAAGACCTGCAGCAATAAGTGATCGGGATCTGAATTGGTTAGCAACCTCAGATCTTAACGGCCGAGAGGTATGGCTCTAGACCCCTTTCAATTCAGCTCTTGCTAATATTGTCTCAGATCAAGAACCTGACGTCTATTGCACATGCTCTTGCCACTGTGGATCGTACCTGTGTTAGCTATATGTACATCGAGTGAGCATCAACGTCAAACGAAGATTACTCTCGTGAATTTGATTAAGTTAAGATCAATGACATGTACACCTAGTTTGCTCGATCTTGGAAAGGCTTTTTGAGTCTCAGGTCTAATGTTCTTTCTTGCTTCAAACACAATACAAGTCCCTGTTCTGAATTTATGTCGTTTGAATTACTGTTCTTGGACTCTTGGGCCGAAACCAAACCATGTATGGTCTCTATATGCGTAAGTATTCCCGAGCAAACATGCGTGTCAGCTTCAAATGTATTCCGAAGCCCGGATCTTCAACCTGACTTCACTAGACGCCATTTCTCAAGGGCGCTCAAAGAGCTAGAAAGCTAGAGAAGCTAAGACAAGAAAGCTAGAGAGCTAGATGGCTAGAGTGAGAAATAAAAGACTGTGATCATTGGGTGTCCCCTCGCCGCCTGCTCCTGCATCGTTATGCTGAAGTTTGCCCAGGGAAAAGAGGTCCCGGCAGGACCTCTTTTTTCAACCAATCATCTTGCTGACTAACTCATCTAGACCAATCTGGGATGGTCGAGCCCGATCCAAATTCCATGTCACTGGTTGTGGAATCCTGTAACAGTAACAGTGCGAGAGGGAAAATAAGATGTTCATCTGGTCGATAGTCTTGGCACAGGCCAAGACTACTCCTCGCCCACCTCTCCTCGCGGGGTGCACGCCGTCCTGCAGGCCCATGCTGTCGTTCAATCCCGATAGCTGTAGCTTGTGACATGTCAGACTTTCCCTCCCCTCATCCTCATGGAGAAGCGCATGAATACAACGCTCTCGCCGCAACTTGTTGCGAACGAAGTGCACCGCCAACGAGACGCAGAAGCTTGTTGATTCACCAATTTCATTTCCCTGCAACTGAATATTTCTGTGAAGTTGAATTCCGTAAATACGTAAAGACTTAGCAGAAAACCACATAGACCTCTTTCTACTTTGATCACCTACCCCTTGTTCGCTCACGGCTACTTGGTGTTGATCGATTGTTGAGAATCGAGTACGTTTGCCGCAATGACGCCGGCGTCCTGTTTGGGAACCTCTGCTGGATCAGCTCCCAGGGCTTGTTCTGGCGCCTTATCGACAGAAGAAGCTCGTTGTCCGCCTCAGACCATCAGGCCCGGTTTGCTCCTTGATCGCTCATCCTCGCCGCATAGTCCGCGCCAACGTGTGGTGGTCCAGACCCTCCTCCATACCTTCCAGGGCCGGCAGTGGGCGTGTCCATTGTAGAAGGGCGCATGAGGAGGAAGTAGAGTTCAAGTGCAACAGCAGAAGCCAGCGTCATCGCCTCCTCTGGAGGCAGTAGAGTGTGACCTGCCTTGCACAGGCATGTGTGACCCGTTTGGGTAGCCTCCCTCGCGCTCTCTTCATGATCTGTTCAGACAAAACCAGTATTGTCTCCTTCGCCGCCCCTATCCTCAATGTTGTTGTCATGTACACAGGCATGTTCGGCAGCATCTTGTCATTGGATCTGTGCTGGTGGGATCACTGCAGAGACTGTAGACTGACGGTAATCATGACATGTGGATGGCCGCAGAAACGCCCTTCGCTGCTTTGCAGGTGATGCTGACAGCTCATGCTCTGTGTCTGCGCTACCATGGCGTTTGCGGTCATATCCTGAGGTTGGCCCCTGATTGTCTACGACATCAAGGGTTGGTGGATTGCGAGCGTGAAAGCTGGTAGGAATCACCACTCCAACGCTAGGGTACCTTGGCGGTTGTGGGCTAACTTGATAGATGCTTCCGGGAAAAATGGGTGGGATTGTCACTAGCCGCAGCAGCCCCAGTATCTTCGGTGTCTGGCCGTGGCGAGGAAGGAATAGAGACATCAGGATGTGCATCAAGCTGAGCGTCCACGCTCTCCAACACGATTCGTCGCGGCGATGAAGTTTGTGTGCGATGGGAGGGAGGACTAATGTCCCTTTATAGTCGCAGGACGCCAGGGCAGCGAATACCCGCGCCAAACCCGATTAGGCTACGCTAGACCCGACACAGGTGGCGCCAGACCGGATCGGGGGAGTGCGGCCGAGCCTGAGGCTGCACTATGTTTTGTCGGAAGTCGACTTTATCATGCACCGGAGTCACAATACCTAAGCTTCTGAAGACAGTACTGAACATCAGGGCATTCGCTCATGATATTGGCCTGCTTGAACTAGGGCAATGCATGACAAAATTAATGAACGGCGGAACAGTCGGTATATTGCCAAACCTCCAGTCCGGTGCTTTTCCGCATCCCACATCCTTCCTCACGTTATTCTACGTTTCGTTGATGGGAATTCGTAGTAGAATTATCCGCCCTTCATATACTACAAGCTAAGCTGTGTATGATAGTCGGAAACTACTAATATCCATAGATTTTACCAGGCAGTGATGCGGCATGTTCACGGTCATCCCCGTTATCCATCCACGATGAGTTGGTGGAAGTCACGTGATTAACATTATACTTGGAAGTCTCTCACCTGATACCGAAGTATGAATCTCATAATTAAAATTATTATTGTGGGGGTTTCATCCCGCTGGCGGACTATATTCTTTGAAGAGATCTTGTATGCATGTTTCAAATTTGAACAGCAATCGTTTCATATCCAACGAAAGCCAGGTTGGATTCGTACGCTAAACTACCTCGGCAAACGATATAACGGTAAAACGTAAACGCGCGACATCCGGTATCGCCCCTCGTCCGGTCCGGCGAGCCCGAAGCATTTTTTTCGGATTTTGGGGCGAAACCAGCCCATAGTGACCTATATGCCCGCAGGAGCTTCCTCGCAATAGTAATGGCACACCGCCGTCCGAGTTAACCTACGGAGCATATATCAAGCGTCATTCTGTACCGGACCCAACTTGTGCCGAAAATGAACAGCCGGCGGCTAGCCTAACCGGCGAATCGGATGGCCTTTGCAGTTCTATGGTGTCTGTTCGTATGCATGAAATTGATAACTACTGGCAAGTAGTCCGAGGCGAAGAAAAGAATGCGGAAGGAATTGGATATCCAAACTGATTCTAGCCCCCATTTTGACGATATGTTGACTCACTGCGCGGGGGATCTCGGGTTCCTAGCGGCTGCGCCGTCCGTCCTATGAAGACACCCAAGAGGTTGGGGGAAGAGAGGATCTAGGGGATTCTCGAGAGCTATGATGAATGATTGCCTAATCCATTGACTAATAAATATCTTAATAAACTGCTCACCATATCTATCTGCATTCTAGGTCGAAAAGAGGAGGTTCAGCCTATGAAGCAGAAACGGACCTTTGCACGATTAGCATGTAGATGAATTTTTAGTCGATGGCGAGGGACATTTGGAATAACTTACGCTTTCCAAGACTCCACCCAATTTTAAACAGAAACGGATGTCGAAACTTCAAGTTTCAGCAGAAAAACAATATGATTTGCGAAAATTTCAGATGAGTTCCAAGTTGATCACTCCGGGGTGTCTCTTCTAACATCAACGCAGAAACAGGTGCTTCAAACGGCAATCGAAGTGCCCTGTCAATTTATCAGCCAGACTCATATCCGATGACATTCACCTAACGGGGATCAGAGCAGCAGCAAATGCAAATCAGCTTTGCCAGGGAGTTGAATCCGGCAGTCATTAGTAATTACCGAACTATTCAACAGGGGGGCTCTGAAACAAACGGCAAAGAACAAAGGAAAGAGAACATGGGTACTTCTTTGTCAGAGTTCTGAACCTCTTGTTTGGAACCTATCCTGACTAGTGTTGGCGCCCTGGAATAGCGATGTCGGGGGTATCCCCCTGTAGTGTAGTGATACTAAAAAAGGTGATGATTATTTTTGTTGGAGCCGATATGTACTGCGTAGGTGTTTTTGAAGGCCTGAGGTTCACGCCATCTGAAGGGGGGGGAAGGGGGGGGAACAATATGTCCAACAAACCGAACCCAAAAAGCTAGGGCCAGAAGATCTCAAACTCCTTTGCACGTGGGTGTTTGCTTTGCTGGTCTCGATTATTATTACTAATTTGTTGGAGGATTTGGAGACAAGAAATAAATGGGGAATTCTGCTGATGAGTGAGTTGGTTGATATGTAACGTGAACATCACTGGGCCAGCAGCCTGGGCCATGTTGCATTATGAGTGAGCTTTGTGCTCATCTTGTGATTGCGAAATTCGCTGCAAGAATGGGGGATCCAAGCAGCCGGAGGATTGAGATAGTAGTAAAAATGAAAAATGAAAAACGAAAAATAAAAATGAGGCTAAAAATAAAACATGAAAAATAACCATGTGTTCTGTAGCGATTCTATCCTGTTCTGTCCTTTATTATTATTAACTTCTGTATGGACATGGCCGACGTTACGTTGTTGACTTTGGAGAAGAATATATTAAATAACTTATAACTAAACTAGTTAAGTAACTTAAATAAATAACTTACGGTACGACCAAGAGCGCGGGCAGACTCACAGTCAACCACCAACCACCACCACCACCACCACCACCACCACCACCACCACCAAGCAGCAGGCGACATACCGCTGCAAACCAGCTTCAGGACAGCACAATCCTTTATCTCTCTACCAGATCATCCTCTCCTGCTCTCTCTCTCTTCTTATTCACCAGCTTTTGTGCTGGTTTCGCTACTGCTGTGTCTCTCTCTCCCCGCCAGCGCAATTGTTCTATTTCGCTTTCTGCTGCGAGGCCCCCCCCCATCCTGCCCTCCATAGGGTCACATCGGTGTATAAAGCAACCGGTCCCCATCTCTTGCAAGGTCGTATCTGCCGACGACCTCCTCCGCTTTTCCTACTTCTACTTCCCAGACGTTCACGGACGATCATTCCACGTCTCCGTCATTTATCTACATTAAATATTGCCTGTCCTCGCTGTTTCATCTTTGTCAGTCATAGTTCAACTAGACGGCACCGTCGGAGGTCTCAACTCGGAGCTTCGATAGCCGCATTTTTCAACCCCGCGCATCTACCCTTTTAACTAAGAATTTTCTGTTCTGAAGAGTCCTATCCGCGTCAGTTTGGGGGTCTAACGCTTGCAATTAAGGTATTTCGGCTGCGGAACACTTTCTGTTGACTTTCCTTCAACTCCCCCACGCCCGCTGATTAAACCCCCGTGGTTGCAACAAGTTACAAGTAGTTTGATAAAAATAACCCCGCCTCCTAATATTTTTCGAGTTTAGCCCATTTCCGCCTCTCCTCCTTATTGTCCTGCGCCTATTGCTTTAGCCAAGTCCTTTTCCTGCAACAATCCTGATATACTGCGACCTACACCGTTGCGCTTGGAAGATGTCACAATATAGTGTTATGGATGACCTTGATCATGGTCTAGACCACGAGTCTTACGATGGCACCTACACTGACCAGGGAATGGATAATGGTTATACCGGCCAACAAAATCGCGAAGACACCATCGATAGATTCCTACGACCTCTCATGGTATCAGACAACACTCTGCATGAACTCGCCTGCCGCTTCCGACATATATACCGCGATCTTGCTCGAACCTCATCCCAACAATTTCTACCCACTCCAGTAACAAGACTACCGACCGGTCAGGAAACCGGCAGATATTTGGCGATTGACGTTGGGGGGACAAATCTTAGAGTGGCTTTCATTGAACTATTGGGGGAGTCGAAGGATGGAGATGCGACGAACTCCAACTCTCCGACATCACGTGACACAATGCGAAGAGCGCAGAGACAACGGGTGAATCGGACATTAGAAAAGATATGGCCTATAGGGGAGCATCTGAAGAGGGACCAGGCGGAAGATTTGTTCTTATGGATTGGCGATTGTATGGCGGAGGTGGTGGCGGAAAGCTTAGCGCCGAATCTGGCGAGCGGTACCCCTATCCCGGAGGAGCTCGAAATGGGCATTACGTTCAGTTTTCCAATGATGTAAGTGCTACCCTTCAGTTTTCCCAATTTTTTTTATTTTTTTTTAACATTCTTTTTATTTTATTTATTTATTTTGTTTTTCCTCCAATCATGTTCACTTTGTATTGTTGGATACAGGGTGCCCTTCCTTTAGACTCGGTCGGCGGAGCAGTGGTTTGCTTCAATACTAACCGTGAACAATAGGCAAGAGTCAATCCAGGAAGCGCGGCTTATGCCAATGGGAAAAGGCTTTGCGATAACTTCAAATCTCGATTTAGGCCGTATTCTGCTGGCGGGCTATGATAGGCATACAAGACGACCATTTGGAGAAGAAGAGCAGTCGGCTAAGCGACGAAAACGCTTTGCGCTACCAAAACTAAAGATTGCCGCAATTACCAATGATACAGTTGCTACTCTAGCATCGCTGGCCTATCTGGTGAAATCCCTACCGAACAGCCGTGTTGCGATGGGTATAATTGTTGGGACCGGTTGCAATGCCACGATTCCCATGAGCTTGAAAGATCTGCACGAATCTAAGGCAAAACACGTTTCATCGCGACACCCGGACGCTGTCGAAACGATAATTAACACTGAATGGACCATTAATGGTGCTGCACCACCCCTCCGTGAACTCAACATCACTACAAAATGGGATACAAAATTAGATGAGGCCTGCGCCCGACCGGGCTTCCAACCTTTTGAGTACATGACTGGCGGCCGTTATATTGGCGAACTGGTCCGGATTATATTTTACGACTATCTAACGAACGTAGTTGGTCTATCGAAGAAGGAACTACCAGCGAATCTTATCCAGGAGTACGCTCTCACCACCACCTACCTATCACAATCTGTTGCTCAAATACAATCGGATTCCGAGCTGGTGCGATACCTCACGGAAACCTTGCCCCCACCCGAATCCAGCGATTGGAGCTGGGATAATAATTCGGCGCGGGCATTCCGAAGAGTTTCCCAGGTTGTCCAGACACGGTCTGCAGGAC